TTTCACTCAACAGAAAAAATTCAGCCGTTAAATTTTTTTTTAATAATTTTAAAAAATACTTATGTGATCATATACATGTTTTAAGCCCCGCATCTAAGTATTTTAAATCGTCTTTTGATGTCCATGACTTTAGTAAAAGAACTAAATTAAAAAAAAAAAAATTGCTACAAATTGTGGCGGAATACCAATAATAAATTTCTACATTTTTCACTATTTTAAAAAATAAGTTTAATGTTACCCCGAATTAATAAGGTTAATTAGAATATAATAATGCCAATTGAGTAAAAATTCTGATCAATATGTTGTACGAATAGCGATGTTCATCGAATCAAATAAATTAACAAATTTCTTGATTCGATATTTAACATGTTTAATTTAATCTAAATTGATTAAAATTTAATGTGGTTTTGTTTGGATAACGGGTTAGCACTTTGCCAACTCATAATACAATGACATACCTAATTAACTCATTTATTTGCGTTGATTTAAAAAAAAAAAAAATCACACATCCTCACATACAGTGAAATACGTTACAATTTCTCGTACATTGTTTAAGACTTGTTTTAAATTTGTTATTTTTGTTTTGAATTTATGTATTTATTTGGAATATTTTATAATTATGTTGAAATTATATGTTAAAAATTATTTAAATAATTTTTTTTTATTTTTTATATATTTTTTGTTTTAAATTATTTAATCAGACAATTTAATAATTCAAACTGAATTAACTTGTTTATGTTTGGTTTGAATTTTTAAATTTTTATTTTACAAATCTAAATGAAAGCAATTCACGGTTCATGTTTGGTTTAAAATTTTAAATTTTTTTTTATAAATTTAAATTAAACCAATTCATTTTAATCAATTTAAATTTATTTTTTTTAAATTCGAACAAATCCGGCCTATGGACATCTTCTGTACTAATGTGTTAAAAAAGCACTTGCTTGATTATCTAACTTTGAGAACAAATTTTAATTTAAATGGTTATTTTCTTGAAAAGGCTTGTTGCATATTAATTGGATCGAAATTTTATGGGCTGCCGATGAAAATATTTGACATATCCATTTCAATGAATTTAGAACCTTTTTAGCTGTATTTCCCTCGTAACTTGACATTTGTGTGTAAACTTTTAATATTACACGAAATTTCTATTATCTGTGCTTTATTCGTTTTTTGTTTGTTTGTAAATTTGTAGAATATTTCATGTTAATTAATCTGTAATCCTGTTTTGATTAGATTTGTGTGTAAAAATGAAAACTACGGTAGTGATTCATGAAAAATTAAACATTAAAACGGAATAAATTGAATTGCAAAATGTTGGACTTTCAGTAAAAGAATGTTTTTTGTTTTTGTTTTTACATACATAATTTTTAAATGTTCAATTCTCAACATAAATTTAAACATTTATACAGTGAGGTGCTCAACCTTTCATCAAAACGCGTTTAAATGCCCAAATCTAATCAAGTGTTTGAATTGAGGTTGAAATTATCAGTTTCTCAAATTATTATGCGCATATTCAAACACTCAAACAAGCGTTTTGATGTTTGATTTTTTATTTGCTCGGAGAATTAGAGAAGCTAAAGACACTGCTCATTTTAAGAAAATTTACTAATACATTCTTTTTAACACATTCGTTAATTAATATTTATTTAAAAATTAGAAAAACTTTCGGCAAAGAAGTTACTATTATTTTTTGAGGGCATTCTTTTAGTCGTTACAGTATTGGACCCCAAAAGGGTTCTTTCTGAAGTTAACACGTGTCTAGGCAATGAACTAGACAACTATGATTACAATGCACCTTGCATGTTTGGGAGTAACCATGTGCACCTTCTATTTTGGTGCCAAACATATTAAATTTATATTTTAGTCTTCAAAACGTATTTATATTTTTTAATCTCAATTTATATATTTTATTCCCAAGTATAAAAATATTACAGAAAATGAAAGATTGTAGTTAAAACCACTCACCCTTTCCATCTAGAAGTAAAATAGAATCAGTAATTCGATTTTCTTAGAAAACATGATCTGTATTCCATAACATTGCCCAAATTTAGTGCCTCTTATTAGTGTGCATCAATTGAAAAAATTATTCTTACCATTAATATAGCATTCTCACTCTTTTAAGTTGTGAAAAGATAAATATTGTTTTTATTTTATTTTATCAAGATAAATTATATTTTATATTAAAAATATTTATAACATTAATTAGTATCTTATACATTAAATAAATAAATAAGTGTTTTATGCTATTAAAATGTTAGTAATTTATTTATAATTATATTTATAGTAAAAAAATTATATATTTTTTAAAATAAAATTACAAGAAACACGTAGAAAGTTAGAAATTTTTCTTAAGAAGAATTATAGTTGGGGCTGTTAATTATGAACGTTTGGGTTGAGCCACTATTGGTGATGCAGTTTGACATTGAGCAATTAAATTTTATTTGATCAACGCTGTCTAATAGATTAGGATCCAGTGAAGACACAAGAGGGCGAGAATCGAAGAAAAACATAAATTTAGTCGTTAAAACTAGTATTTTTAATTAAATTAATCATTGATTAAAAAATACAAAGAAGATTTAGTCATGTTTTGATCATTACAATCATATCAATTTCGAACTTTGATACGTGTCATTTTTTTAAATCTTTAATATTACCAATTATATTGACTGATATCTGTAAAAATTAGATAATGTTGCGTATTATATTTTTCATGGATCAAATTAATTGAAAATTGTCCTAGTCAGAGATTAGCTTTATTTTTTTTTAAAACCAATTTTGAAGATGAAAACAATGTTTTAGTCGTTACAGTTTCATAAAAATTGTGATTTTGATCCTAGAGTAATTCTGATCTGGTCCGTTATTTTAAAAATTAAATATTTAATTTATCATGATTACTAAGAAATATAGTTTTATAAAATAAAATTATAGTTTATGATTAAATTAGTATTTAATATATTAAATAAACAAATATATTCACTTTATAAATACTAGGTGAGTATTTCATTAATATAAATCTTACAATAAATAAAGATATAAAAATAATTTTATAGATAATACATCTAAAAAAAAAATTTGTTTCAAATTTTACTATACTAAAATATGAGAAAATGTATCCTTATTTATTATGTTTTTAAAAGTCAGTTAGATATGATAAATATTTAAATTGAAATTAATGACAAATATATATTTTCTTTTTCATTTTGCATTTTTTTCTTTAGAAGAGTTATTTTCCATATTATTTATAATTAAAGTCAAAAAATTTATTTATATTAATTTGATTTAATTATATTTATAATTACTTTAAACACGTGTAAGTGCTTTTAAAAATAAGTATATAAAATAATCTGGTTCATTTAATTAAATTGACATAACTTTTTTTGTCATGGGTCATAAAAAAACGATAATTGAATTTATACTTAATAAATATCCATATAAATACTTAAAAAAAGGAATTACTTGTTAAATGAATTTAGACTCGAATAAGAATATTTATTCAGAAATATTTATAAAATAGTGTAAGTTTGAGTCGTTTATTATTCAATCTATTTCATATCAGCATGGAATTTAATTATTAAATTTAAAATAAAAATTAATGTTACATCATTATATATAGCTAATTATATTATTTAAAATAATATTACACAAATCAGTTTATATTATAAATATCACCCACATCAGCATAAAATGAAAAATCATGTACAATATTACTACCTAATTAATATTATATGATTTTTTTACATATTTTAAAGTGTGCAAGACCGAACCTAGAAATATATAAAGTCGTCATTCAAACTGTTCTGTTTAATACAAGAGCTAAGACATGCATTGTGTTTTGTTAGGTAATTTGATATAAATTTAGTTAATTATTCCATTTTTTATGTTTTATAGTGAGGATGAAGATAATATTTTTATTTAGTTAAAATACGAATAATGGCTTAAATAAGTATGCAAGTACTTATAAAATATAAAAGAAGATATCAAAGTTGCTAACCGTGATATTTTAAAACCCAAATACAAAAAAAACGTATACTGTAATAATAAGATATCCAAACATTTATAGAAATCATTATTAAAAATACATTATCATATATACAAATGAAAAATAGTGCAATCAATTCCCTTTAGCAACTGAAATTATCTTGTTCCTTATGTGTTACGGTGAATAACATTTTCAATTTCAACCTTCGCACGGGTGCAATAATGATCTTGTTGATCTGGAGAACCCCAATATATATAATTGATGCATAAAAGTCAAGAGGGACAAACAAAGAAAAAGAATATTGTAATTGAATGGCTTAATTAATTTTGAGAGCACATGACACCTAAGATTCCTCTCTGAGGAACCTGAACAGGATTGCTCTTGCAAAGTTGTCATGTTGTAGCAAATAGCTAGGGAAGAGGAGAACAGAGTGGTTCTGCTGACATTATTATTATTTTTTAATATAAAAGTGGTATGAATTTTTAATTTATATAGGAATGATTCCTTTGCACATACATAATTATTATTTTTAATGTGGATATTATATTAAAATAAGGTTTTTTACTCACTGTGAAAATAATAATCAAGAAGTAAATAAATACAAATATTTTACAAAAAAATACAGTTAAAATATATTAATAGCATTAAATATAATATTTTTAACTGTTACCTCAAATTATAATAGCTATTAAAATCGTTATACAAACAATAAAATATTGCAACTAGGACAACATTAATTGACATGAAAGGACACCTGACCAAGCTAATCCCAAATTAATATATGCCAAATCTTCCGTCACTGAATCACAATTCCCTTCTCAACAAACTCAACATTTTTCTCTATCACAACATTATAGTATCTTATCTTGTGGATTGTATAGTTAACGATGAAAATTTAACAGGGTCCTCCTGATATTTAACTCTTTCACACAACTAAAACTGGCAAGAACAAGAAATTGAAAGCAGTACTACACAGTGGTTCCGTGATATATAACGAAAGTAAAGGAAAATTACAAGACTTGCATGTGACTTTTTTATTTTATTAAAATCCTATTGGGGACCTCATTTTCTCTCTCTGTCATCTTCAATTTACACTTTACACATAAATTTACGAGTCTAAAACATGTACACCCACTATAGCTTCTGCTTTGCTGGCCCATGTGAACTGTTCTTAGTGTTAACGATCTTTAAATCTCTGATCCCAGTTCATGGCGGCCGGAATGTGACCCACAACTCCAATGATCTGCTTTTAAGCTGGCCCATGATCAGAAAGTGTGTCAGATAGGTACCTTGTGCAGCACCATGCTTTTAGATGGGTCATTATTAAAGAATTGAATTTTTTAGTGCAGGTGTTTGTGGCATGCCCTTTAGTGACTATATGCTATGACAAACTTTCAGTGACATCTCCTAATCCCAAATTGAAAATAAAATAAAAAATTATTAAAATCCAAAAAAATAAAAATAGAAATTAAACCCTCCATCCAATCAGAAACTTCCTTATCTTGTCTCATTCAACGGTGTCCACTGAAGAAAGTTTATTTGTCGCAATCTCATAACGGTTACCTCCTTCATCTTCCACACTCTCTCCCTCTTCATTGTCATCATCATCATCATCATCTTCTTCTTCGAATTCTTCTGCATCTTCTTCCTCTCTTTCTTTTGTTTCATATTGACTTTCATTGTTCTCTTTCTCTTCATATTGAGAGGGAGGTCTCCATTGCTGCTCCGGTTGCACCATCAAAGGCTCCATCATCTCATTTGGCTTCATATTGTGGAATGAAACACCAAATCTGCTCTTTTCTTTGTATAGAGCATCAAGTTCATGAAAATAGGGACATGTCTTGCTATCGTCACGCCTTTGCTTGTTACTCTCCTTGACTTTCTTGAAGTACTTGTTGATGTTCTCCCATTTCTCTTTGCATCTTTTGGCACTCCTGTTGTAGCCGAGCCTCAACATCCCTGCTGATATATCCTCCCACAGTGGAGCCTTTGGTCCATTTTCTTGATACTTGGCTTCAAGACTCGTCCTCAACCTTATCAAAGCATGAACTTCTGACTTTGGCCACCTGGAAGAAGAGTTCAATGGAGTAGAAGCTGTAGTAGTAATAGCACTGTGACCATTATTCAATTTTTGAATTTCAATATTGTTGTTGTTATTTGACATCACAAGTGGTGCTTGTGGAACTTGCTGTTGTGGTTGTGTTTGTGATACAGGTGGGGGCGGCGGCGGCGGCGGCGGTGGTTGAAGGAAATTGGCACCGGCCTGTGTTGTGGGATTTTGCGGCTGACCAGATAGTTTTTGCAAGAATGCAATGACTGCTGCATTTTTTGCTGCCGCTGATGATCTTTCTTGGATAAGAAGTTCGTGTTCTCTATTGATTCTTGTCATTTCCTGCATCCTCCAAGACTCTTGTTGTGCCACGTGGTCTCTTTCCCTTTTGTCTATGGCTTCCAAGAACCTTTTCTGCATTTCCTCTTGCTTGGCCAAGACCTGCCTCGTGAGCCTTCTGAAGTAGTCCTTCCACTTTCTTTTCTTTCTGTACTTCTCTTCCAAGTCTTCATCTGAAGCAGTGGAAGAAGAGGTTGAAGTGGTTGAGAAAAGATTGTTCATGTTGGGCAAAGAAAAAGGGATGTTGTTGTTGGTGGTGTTGTTATTGTGGTTGGGTTGTGATGGGTTTCTAGAGTTGGTTACTACTGTTGGAGAAGTGATGGTGGTTGTGGTGGCATTGGTTGGTGGTGGTGGCGAGGGAGATATGACTGTAGGGTTTGTGGATGGAACAGTGGTGGTGACATAAGAGATTGCTATTGTGTCACTAGGCCTTGTTGGTGGTGGTAATGCCACTGTGTTTGTTGTTGCCAAAGTGGGTTGTGGTTTTGGCGGGTAAGAGACTGAGAATTGGTTTTCAAGGGCTTGTAATTGATCGAAAAACTTGTAGGTTTTCCCTTCATGTTTCCCACTTCTACTCTCTTTGGTTCTTTTGTGGTATTTGTATACATTCTCGAATTTCTCCTTGCACTTCTTTGCGCTTCGGTGATAACCCAGTTCTCCTAGTTTTCTACATATATATATAGAGAGAGAGAAGTGGAGGGAGTGAGGGAGAGAAAGAGAGAGAGAGAGAACAATCAAATTTTATTATCATATATATACAATTAAAATTGGAAATTTTGAAAATAAAACAAAAAATAAAGCTACTTTTTCAGGTAAAGAAGGGTAAAATTTTAGACGGTCTTGCCGTAGCAATAAAAACATGTAGGTAGTTAAAGAGTGAACAATAAATTAGACACAAACTTATTAGATGGAAGGATGAGAAACCAAGAAAGAAGATAAACTCAACAAAATTTGATTGAGCAAATTACACAGAAACATATATATATATATTCATGATTCTTGGCAAATATGGACTACTATACATCTCGCTTCATCCTGAAAGGATATGCTTTGTAACACAAGATTCAGCTAGAAGAATTTCAGCTGACTGATTTGAATGACATAGGTATCTTAATTATCACAAAGACATCTAAAATGATAATTAATGAATATTTTTGTCTCATATATGTATATACACTTGAATGTACAAGATATGCCGCCGCCACCCCTCCCAATTGATTCAATTTTTTTTCCAAAAAGAAAATTCATTGAAGGTAAATGGGTTTCAAGAATTGAAAACGAATTCATAGATCTTCATGCATGATCTGGAAGAAGCTAGCTAACTTGGTTCCAGCATAGTTTCTTCAAAACGAGGAAAAAGAAAAGAAAAGCTTAAAAGAGGGAGAAGCTGATATCCCAAAGAGAACAAGAAACAGAAAATAAACATATATATATATGAATGATGAATTCAGTTAAATGGTGTATATATATATATGTGTGTGTGTGTGTGTGTGTATTATAGATGTATATATATGTACCTTGCAACTTCTTCCCAAAGTGGACCCTTAAGACTTGAATCTCGAAATACAGCATCCATATCAGACCTTATCTTCAAGAGTGCCAAAGTTTCTTGGCGGGGCCATCTGTTTCCACCACATGAGTTGCCGATCTTGTCACCTTCTTCTTCTGCAACACCCTCCTTTATTCCCTTCTCTTCACCGGAATTTGCATCCACCATAATCACCTCGCCGCCGTCATGCGCCGGCACGGCCTCGCCGGAGGAGGTCTCTTCTCCAAGCTGCTGCATATAGCTATAGCCAAGAGAGAGAGAGAGAGAGAGAGAGAGAGAGAGATGTCCCTACCTAGCTAGCTAGCTAAGCAATTACAGCTTGAGAAAAAGGGAATATATCAGAAAACAAAGGGAATAGTATAGTCTCAGGGTTTTTATTATGCGCATGGAGAGGAGAATAGAGATGCTTTAGGGGTGAATATGTTTTTGTTTATTTTTAGGTGATGGGATCTGTCAATTTCAGCATAGAAAATGGAAATATTATGCTTTAATTTAGCTCGGTTAACTTTTTCTTTCTGTATGTGTCTATAATAATTATTGTTGTTATTATTTTAAATTTTATGATTAGGGCTGTGGAATCTTCGGTTATTTTAATTTTAATTTTTATGGTGTTGGATTGAAAAAAGAAAGACAAGGAGGAGTCGCTTTGGGTTCTCTTATGTGTGTCATACGTAAGTGCTGCAAAAAGCAAAAGAAAAGCTAAGGGATAAATTATAACATGGATCGTTTAAAGGGAAAATAATAATGATAGGGAAATATAATAAAAATGGAAAAGATAATAATAATAATAATATTTTTTTCTATACGTATATGATATATATTTTTGAAAATTTTTAACAGATGTAGTAGTGGGAACAGCCTGCAGATAGCGACGATGGAGATGATAAGTTGGGCCATGTAGGTCAGCTTTGCTCGTTGGGGGCTTTTGGATTTCAGTGGCAAAAGGATTTTGAAATTACCGTATTGCCCTTGAGAGATGAATTTCATCATTGACCTTTAATTAATCATGCAACTCTCAATCCCAAGTTTCCTTTAACAACGGTATAATTAGCTTAGCCTTCAGGGCATCCTTTCAATTCTTCTTGTGCTTATCATTTGGTGCTTTTCCCACATCCCCCATAATGCCCATGAAATTAAGTTAAATATGCCTAACCCTATAATTTATATTCAAAAACACTAATTCTATTTATATCTTATATTTTATACCTATAATAATATCTCTAATAATATTTCAATTTTTCAAAGAATTACTTAACTTAAATCCATATCCATATATGTATTTTTAAGGGTTTTTAAAAAAATACTTTCACAATTCAACATCGTAATTCGACGAGTTTCAAATTTGAAGTTAGTGAAGAAATGCTAATTAGGTGTTGTTAACAAGTGTTATTTGTTTATCAAATAATTTTAGTTTCCTTAAGAAAGTAATTTTTTTTAACAATTTTTTAGTGTATGTATTTTTCATATTAACTTTAATCTAGTTAGTTGGTCATGATGACCTAATTATCCTTTTCTGAGAGATGAATTAATTACTTTTAGTTAGATAGATCGTAGATGTAGGTCAGTTTGTGAAGGCAAAGACCATTTATGAAGGGAAGTAACCGGTGACAAATTCAGTTAGCTTCAACCTAACATAATAAATAGAATGAATTTTTCGATTACTAAAAATCTTCTAACTCCACATATTACACCAATTATTCAAAATTTTCAGGGACCATTCGCAAGTGAGGTGACTGTACGTGCTATGGTTATCGCTAATTATACTAAGTTATTGAGTCAATTCTTCCCTTTTTTCCTTCAATGTAAATAAATGTTTAATTAAATGTAAAACATGTAAAAAAGGAGAAGGTGATAAAGTGGACTTTATTTTATTTTATTTTATTTTTTTGAATCTAAGAGAAATGACCCCACAACGTGCTTCAACGTGGTGGACTTTATGAGCCAATATTATTTTATTTGGCATTTTACCCGAAGAGAAATTTATAGGGAAAATGTTTTGAGAATTTTGAACTCCAATCAAAATGATCATTTTGTTCATCTAATCTTCCATACAAGTAACGACCAACTATACAAATTTACTTTTTACAAATAAATTAAAACGTCTCGTTCTTTAAAAAATGTATCAAAAAATTAATTCATTATTTAAAAATAGTTTTTAATTAATATACATGAATTAATAGAAATTATATCACGTTTTCCTTTATTAAAAAATATATAATTGTTTTAGTTGTTATAAAACATTGTCAACTTGATCATCATCGCTTTCATGAATTTATAAATAGAAAATTGACCTTACATGCACACTCCTTTAAAGATGAAAATGAATATTTACTTTGTTTAATTGATGTCTATAAAGATAATAGTGTATAAGAATAAACATATATATAAATTGAGCTACATAGATAATAATTTTTTAAAAAATGTCATGAGGTTAGTCTCGTACTCTCTCTCTAATTCATACTATATAAACTGTGAGTCTTTATGTCTCTCTCGCTCTCTCTATCATAAAATTTTGGGGTTCTGAGACTAGACATTTCTAATTAGGGGTGAGAAGAAACCAAACTCACATCACAGCATGATTCAGTTTGTTAACTTGGTTCTACAACGAGTTTGAGCAATTATTTGGCTTAAACATCACAAATATGGCCTTGAAAATACATATGTGATTTTTCATTCAAAATTGATTTCATTGAAACGGCGTACGTATACAAAGAACCGAAACAAAAAATCATTAGAACTCAATTATTGAATGGTGACATGAATGGATCAAGGTAAGATATAATGCCAAAGAGTGGGGCCCGAATAATTCATCATTTATAAATGCATTTATCACCATTATTATGTTTACTTTCTTTGTTTCTTTATTTTAATATATGGTTTTCTTTATAGTTATTGATATCGCCACAGTAGAATATGTTTATAGCAGATATATAATTTTAAAAGGGGGGAAAAAAAGTAAAAGGATAAGCTAGAAAAGGGTAGACTAGTACTTCATGTTGAAGAGTGGGAGGTGTAGGGGAAGAAGTAAGGTAGGTAAACATCTATCAAATGATGCAAGGTGACACCGTGTTAAAATTATTGCGCTGTGTATAATGAATTATATATGGTTATATAATTGAAAAGTGTGTGTGAGAGAGATCCCATTTCCATTTTTTATGTGCATTTTGTTTATGCGTATATGTTAGCTGTTTTGTTTCGTATTGTCGACCCTCTAATGCGCTGTAAATACAGAAAGAAAAGTTGCATTGCCGTTATTCTCTGCTGTTCCTGAACCTCTTTTTTCCCTCTCAATTAGCCCATTGTTTAATCTTTGAACCACTTGGTATCTATCTTGCTTGTATAGTGTGCATGCATATGCAACATTAATTCATGGCAAAGAATCTGCTAAAGTTTCGTGGCAGCCAAAAAGAAGAAACTAAATCATACATACAACAATTTGAATGAACCCCTCGAAATGGAGGAGTTTAGGCAGAGAAATTAATTTTAGTTGCAAGCCTGATAGTAACATGCATCCTAACTCATCAAAAAATGGCATGAAATATAAACCAAGATTTTAATCAATAAAACAATAAATGACAAAAAAGATATTTTCAAAAATTAATGGTCCTCACCAAAACAGTCAATCAACCTTTACACATGTGTATTTAAAGAATGTTTGAAAGAATTTATAAAAATTGCTCTTTGACTCTCTTATAAGTTTTTCAGTGTCCTTTAAAAAAATTAATAATTAGATTTATGTTATCAAGTTTTATATGATAAAAGTTTATTAAATAATTATTTAATTAACTTATTTATTTTAAAATATCTTTAGTATTCAAAACAAAAATTCTCTTACTCCCTGACCTCAAAACGTATCATATCTTTTTTATACAAAGCATCTCGCATTTTTTTATTTTTTTAAAATATTATTATTTACTTAAACTTAGTCGAATAATTTATCCAATTATATATACCCAAAAATTTTATATTTTTAAATTTAAATTTTAGAAAATCAAATTTAATTAATCGTTCATGTACACAATTTTTTTCATAATATACTATTGATCAATTTTTAAAGTTTTATCTTAATTTATTCTTATAACCAAATAAAGTTTATATCCTTGAAAATAAAGGTTTTTTTTCAAATGATATATCAATCAAATGTCAATTCAACCATTAAGTTTAACTCACAAAGTAAAATGGATCTATAAAACTTTAAGCTATAAAAAAATTAATTGACACTCTATCAGCTGCCCTACGCTATTTTATTTTAATATATGATGTATTATTTAAAATAAAATAAATAATAATTATTAAATTATATATTATAAATATATAGATTGTATAAATTTTTTATACATATTTATCATAATTATATCACATGAATTAATAAAATTTATCATTAATAAAAAATTATTAAAAATATTTTTTATTAAATTTAATGCCTAACATTATTTAATCTTATCTCATATGTATATCCAAATTTAAAAATACTCATATAATATGTGAAAATTTGTTAATAACTAATACGTGATTGAATGACAACTCAACTACTGGAGCACTATTTAAGCAAGTGAATTTTAGCTATTGTTTAAATAACAATGCTATTTACCTGTATTTTTTTCTTATTATTTGCAAATTAATTTAATGATTTTTTCTCACTATTTTATTTGTTCATTTTCATAATTTTCCATTTATTTGTATGTTCTTATTACCTATATGCATATATTTTTTTATTTGAGTGATTTTTTCTCATTAATTTTTGCGTCCATTTTATTAGTTTTTTTTTTTTACCACAGTTCCCACCCAATATTATATGGTTTTTGTCCATTATCTCTCTCGTCCGGATTTTTTTTTTCACCCATATATTTCATTTGAATAATTTTTTCAAAATTTTTTGTGTGTGCTAATTTTGATGATTTTTCACCCATTTTGCACACTCGATCATTTTGTTGGTTCTTAACATAGTCTTTACACACCCAGTTGAATGATTATTTGTTTATTCAAATTTTTTATCACTTATTTGAATAATTTCTCTGCCTATTTTTATGATTTTTTTTCTAACCATTTTGCATCCCCCTTTATTTTTTGTTCATGATCATTCACACATTAAATTTTTATTTTAATAATGATTAATTACATATGCATGTAAAATGTGGATAGTTAAATTAATATCTGTAAAAATAATTTATGAATATTATCTTTATCTTATTTGGAAGATTTTTTATGGGGTAAAACGATTATCATTATCAAAACATAGGCAGCACAGAAAATTAAATTAGTTTCATTACATTGAAAGGAACTATTATAGAATACATTTTGTTTTATACAGCTCATACATAACTTTCTATGTCGACCCTTATAGGTTCCATATATATATGGCAAGCTATATAAAGAGATAATTTCCAATGTCAGATCTGTTTCTTTTTTCTGTGTGTGAAAATTAACATGGATTTGTATATTATTATTTATCGTT